GGCCAGGGAGGGGCGCTACAAGTAAGGCGGCCGGCGGCGCGGCCCCGCAGAAACCCTGCGCCAAAGCAGGCGCCTTCCCGGCGCCGAGGACGCCCGTAACGCCCCGTTCCCCGCGCAGCGGCCCGCCCTGGGCCGCCGCTTGCAGCGGGAGGCGGGGGCGGCCCGTGCCGGAGCAGGCCGGGCTGCCGACAGGTAGAATCAGAGTAATGGTAGGAAAAGACCTAGTCCAACCGCAAACCCATCACCATCATGCCTCAACCTCGTCCCCCTCAGTGCCTCATCTACATAGCACAGCACTTCCATTTCGCGAGTTTAGATTACAAATATCCGGTTGAGACATAAAACAGTAGCTGAATTACAGCTGCTAGAGCTGAATTACAGTACCAAATTACAGAAGAGAAAGCACATCATTGCCCCATGTTTTAAGGTGCCCATATGCCTGCCTGCCAGTTCTCTCCCCATAAGTGGTCAAGATTTACCACAATTCCTGAAGAAAATAACTACATGACATAATCAAGTAACTTAAGTTGTGCCTCTATACATAGTGGAAGGTTAATGTGTGGTTATGTGATGTGACCATACCTGACTCCTCTCCCAAGTCCTGCTGTATACACTTCAGCTAAAGGTTGGAAGTAAAAAACAGAAAGCATTGAGGAATTAAAAAAAAGTGCATTAAGCAGTAATACAGAAGACAAATCTATAGTTATTTTGGCTGTACGCAATCATTCTATGAAAATTGGTATTTATTTTTGTAGAAAAAAATCATAAGATTTTCTACTATACTGTCATGAACATTGTTTTGTGTCACGATAGGTTTCCTTGAGAACCTAATGCTAATGAGCATATAAAACTAATCCTTTGCCATAAAGGAAATGGTGCAATAATCAAGGTATAGCACAGCACAGGATTCAGTTTGCTTTTCTAGCCTATAAGAAAATAAACAAAGAAACATAACTAATACCCACAAAACAAAAACAAACAAACAGAAAAACAAAAAAAACACAAGCTTACTGTGTATACTCATAGAGGACAACCGTTTTAAATTAAAGAGGAGGCAAAGTTTCAGTCAGCTTTCATCAATCATTGTAGGAATCCATCAGTTTCAATTTCCAATAAATAATGTAAGCATTATTGACCGTCAGAGACTGCAAGGGGGTTTTTTTGCAACTGTCAGCCAAGGTGAAGAATAAGTCCAAACTGATTTATGAAGTAACTTAGTATTTTAATGCACATCTAGTAATACTAGAGGTAGGTAGTTGTTTTATATTGATGTAATTCCAAATGAGGTATCATTTTGGAAGAAAATATAAAACCTTGCTTGTTCTTACTGGTGCAATCAACACACAAACAGTCAAAATCATAGGACAGGCCAAAAAACATAAAAATCTTTTGTCACCTTATTTAGGTTAGTAAGGTTTCCCTCCTCTTTCCCCCCCGCCCCCATTCTTCCCATCATTCATTTTATTCCTTTTGACTTTCTATAATTTATAGGTGCAATATTCAGCATGTGACAAGGGCAGGTTTTACTAAGTTAAGCAAGAGCTTGTAAAGATGACAGTCTAAGCCTTACTGCTTAGTACATATATATGACTGAGCTAATCAGTAGTTTTATTACTATTGACTTGAGAGAAACCTAGGAAATTGAAACATGAATTGGTTAGTACTCTGAAGTACATTTTGGTGATTCTTTGTAGGAGTTATTAAAACTTCACTTAGGTGGGACAGATAGTATCATGTCTACATTTATTTTTAAATCTTTTGGAAGCTTACTGACAAGCATTCTTACTCTTTCAGGAGACTGAATGCAGAATTGGAAGCAAAAACAGAAAAGGTGGTACGTCAAGCTGAAGAAATAATGGTGAGTCGAAGGGGAAGACTGTTACATAGCTTAGCCTTGGTTCACATAAATGGGGTCCAAGTTTCAGAAAAATCTTTACCATGTCAGTAAAAATATTTTGTTTTCAAATTAAACCTAAGCCTTCCCCAACCTCAAGATTGTAAACTTTTAATAAAAGCATTCAGAAGTAGTTTTGATGCAATTTTACAGGCAATTATGTTCATATAAGTGACTAAAGTTTGTGCAGATTATATATAAAGTTATGTAGATGTCTATTATGTTTAAGCAAAGCCTCTGCAGATGGCTTTATGTCTTTTAAACAAATGAAATGCTATTTTGGTGTCTGAAAGCCAGGTACTGCTGCAATAACATCCTAGTGCAATAGAATTTGCATTGTTCAAAATGAAAGAAATACCAAGAATTAGCAACATACAAAAAAAAAAAACCTAAGCACTTATTTTTCTTTTTTTTCTTTTTTCTTTTTTTTTTTAAATGTTTTGTTTGTCAGCATTTTGTTTCTCTAACTTTGGTGTGTCTATGTACCAGATATAGGAAAGTTTTGGTAGAAATTTTGACATGTAAAAGAAGTCTGGCTAATACACAGACAAACTTGAAGGAAGAAGCATCACATCTATCATATGATTAACTAGAAGGGTGACCGGCATATTAGATATATTCCTTATAGGGTTGTAATCCTTCAAATAAGGCTTAACAAACAAATTATAAAACTCCAGAAAATCTGTAATTCTCATATACTCTTTGTCTATGCTTGAAACTTCTTTTAATCCTTTATCCTTTGAAAGGATTCTTCTCCTGAGGAGGATGTGGTAAGCTAAAGCTAACTGCTTGGCCTTTGAACAGAAGCAGGTAAAGCATCCCAAATAACAGCTAATCTCTTTCTTTTAGAGTCCAGCAAAAAGAGCAATTGTCCCCCTAGCCCCCCCACACACACTTTTTTTTTTTTTTTTTTAAATGAAGGCATCAGAGAACTAATATTCTTAGAACACTTAAAATACAACATGGCACTGCTAAATTGCACAAATACACATTAACAAAAGAAAAACAAGTCTTCGTTTTTAAAAATTCTGAATAGGATAACTGCTTTTAGTACTGTATTATGCTTTCTAACTGTAATTTACTATCATAGAAGCTATCTAAACATTCAGTGTTCAGCCAAGTTGTTCTCTAATGTACCTACAGCAAATCACTGTCCAAATTATAGGTCCTTATGCAATACAGCTATTTTTGAAGCTAACTATGCGGCATGGAAACCAAAAATATGTTGCATCTGGTACACCTATGCTATTCCTGCGTTTCAGAGAAAGGAGGCAGAGTATCAGTATTTCAGATGATGTTAAGTTCTGTGAAAAGTTTTACACGCAAAAAGGAAAGTATGCGTTGTAAACATTTGAGGATATCAATGATTTTTAGCCATATGTTTGAGAAATTCTTTTTCATGACAGCTCACTTGCTTCAGGGTGGTAGACTCAAAGTCTTGTTATTTACTAACACATAATACTTCTATTGCAGAAGATATTAACCAATAAATGACTTAGCTTCCCAATTTTCTCCCCAATAAAGAAAAGCCAACAAGAGATACTATCCAGGCCAGTTTCAGTACAAACAGACAAGTCATGCGAAGCTGGCAAACAGAGGTATGTGCTTTATAGTTGTTGGATATTTACAGGTAATTTTTGCCTCCAATCCTGTACATTCCAACTTGCCTAAGTCATAACCCTGTTTCCTCCATTGCAGCATACTAGACAAGTACTAGTGAAGTCTACAGTTTATTACAATTTGAAAAAGTAAATACTGAAGACTTTAGTGTTACTGTTTTTTCAAGCAATAACCCTGATGTTGCTGCAAGTATTGCATCTGTGAGACTAAGTGTAAGTAAAGGTAACATGCATTATGTGCAGCACAAAACAGTAATTTAAAAAACAAACAAACAAACAAAAAACCAAACAAACAAAAAAACAGCTCAGGGGAAAAAGTGGGAGGGAATAGATACTAATTCTTTTGTTTCTAATTTAACTTGTGCTAAATCTCTCCCAGAAGTGCTTGATCAAAACAAAACTAAAACACAACAACAACACTTGGACAGCCAGAGGTTCAGCTGACACCCTCAGGATCTTGGGGATCATTACACTTGAGGCAGACATACCTTTTTGCCTTCATAAATATAAGAACAGCAGCACTTTTTGGCATGTATTTGAACATGTTAGTATCAGACTGGATACACAACATGAATATGTAACCGTTCAAGGGCTGCTATATTGATAGCATTAAAAAAAAAAAAGGGTCAATCTAAGATTTACAAATTTAATCAAAGATTCTCTTAAATTCCAAAATTTATGTTACTAATGTCAAAAAGAAAGATGCAACATCAAACTACAAGCTGCTTCAAATATTAAGTTGCAGTTGGGAAACCGTTTTGAAATTATATTTGTGAGCATGCTGAAGATGATGTCATCCTTCTGTGCAGAGTAAGAGCTAATTAAAACAAAAAGTGACATTTTGTATACCTGTAAAGGGATTTTTTCAGTACACAAAAAGATATGACAGCAAGTATGTGATGATTTAGAGGGACTGAATACTAGAGAGAAGACATTTAAAATTCAAACTAGCTTTGAGTTAGGAGAGTTCTTTTCCAAGCAGTATGATTGCAGGAATCAGCCCTACAAAGGGACTTAATAGTTCTGATGGAGCTGGAAATGCTAGGGGAAAAAATATGTATATAGTAAAGTGCAGACAATTAGCATGTCACTACCAGCCAATACACCAATTGCCCATAGAGAAAAAAAAAAAAAAAAAAAAAAAAAAAAAAAAGGCAGCCTCCCTTTCTGTTGTGGTAAACAGTTACTAGAAAGAAGAGTTGAAATCCCATATTGTAATAAAAACAAAACAAGTACAACACAGAACTGCATGTCAGTATTTGTCTACACACATCCATGAATGAACATTGAGGTTAGTCAACTGGATTAATTCCAAGTATTTAATATATACATATTTTTGTGAAAGCAAACAGTATCCATAACCCAATATCCAAGATTGCTTTGAAAGGAGTTATATAAATGCTAAAGCTACTGGAAGGAGGGGAAAAGACTGATGCAAACTAATAGGATCAGAAAGAAAAAGACCAGTTTAGAAAAACTGAGTAAACAGAGGTCTGAAAAACAAAAACAAAGCCCACCAAAAATATTTAAGTCAATCTATTAATTGGTGTAATTCTGGAATTCCAGTAGTTTAGTGTTCACACGGAAGCCTCAGTTGCAGAGAGCAGGCAGCTGCTCTGGTGACGCTGCATCACGGTGGTTTTTGTTTCCAGGCCCGCAGCGACGGAGGCCACGCGCACAGGCTGCGAACAAAGGGCCCGCTCGGGGACGTGCCCCGTGTTCACACGCACGGCTGGCGTCGCGACGCGGGGGCTTCCGCGGCAGCCGCCCCGTGCGCAGCCCCCCCACTCGTCTCTGTGTCTCTTCAGCTCTTACACTTTGTGGCACTTACCAAGAAGGCTGTATACAGCCATCTTGGGAAGGCTTTAAACATAAGTTGTCATGCCAAGGGGAGAAGAAAGAAACCAATAACATTTAAATGAATTCCTCAAATTGCTTGAGCAGTGAGGGTTTTTTTTTTTTTTTTTTAAATAAATCCTTGAGCCAACAGACATGCTAAAAATAGTCTATCAATGGAAAGCAAGATGCTTTTTTGAGCATTAAGGTTGTTGTATTTTCATATCTTTCAGAATAATGCATACTGATATTTCTGTGGCAGCAGATCCAAGCTTTCTGCATGCCTCTATAGCTAGCCAATAGGAGGGAAGCATGAAGAAAATAGGGTAAACAGACAAAAACTAATCATCCTATTCTTGAAGTCTGTTGCCATCCACGCAAAGATGATTTTTCTAGGGTTTCCCCCCTCCCCCTCCTTTTTTTGGATTAGTAAAATCTGGAGCTTTTTGCAGATAATTCTTGTTGATGAATGGAAGTTCATATTCAAAGGCAAAATCTAAACATTTGTATAAATCAACTGAACCCAAAAATAAAATGCTTAAGTTTTATTACAGAACTTTTGTAAGCTTCCGTGTTAATTGAATAGTAGAAAACATAGAAGGTAACACAAAACTAACCTTGCAGTGCATTAACATAGATCCATGTAACTGAAGGTTTGGAAAAAAATAAATAAGTCTATATATCAAAAACTTAGAATAAAAAATACATGGGATACTAAAGTTCTGCTTGTTTCCAACATAAAAATTTAACATGAAGTTTAAAAACTAAAAACTATCATATTTAGGAAAATAAGCAGATAAGCAAGCTGCTTTATTTACTCTTTTTTTTTTTTCTACGTAGAGTGATACAATATTTGTTATATATATTTCAGAAAATTCTGTCGGGATAGTTTTTAAAAGTGTTTCTATCTGTTAACTCACTTGACAGTTCCTGTCAATTCACTTGACAACAGTCAATATAAGCACACCATAGCACTTCCTCTAAATATACAAAAACAAAGGGGCTTGTATCTTCCTTCCATGGGTATTCAGGAATTTGAATGTAGGTCAGGTAAGTGTGTAGACCACTGAGCTTTGAAAATGTTTGTCTCCTGAAGCTGTTAACACTCTGCATCCTGTGCAAGTCCTCCCCAAATAATTGATTTAATAGCTTGATAGTTGCAGCAATCACCTGAAATGTTAGGGACTAGACTTCAGGTGTTCCCACCTTAGCTACTTTGTTTACTCTAGATGTATTAAATAGTCTCCTGATTGTGACAGATTTATTAATGTTGACTGCAGAAAGTTTGTTTTGCTGCTCAAGTTCTGTGAACTTTGCTTAATTTTTATTTTGTATTTATTTTGCAGAGATTCATTCTACCCTGAAGCCACCTCTTTCACACGCTCACATGTCAAGGTAACAAACTCAAAACTATCCTGACTGACATCCTGTTCCAGTGTAATTTCCAAATACTGCTTTTGGTTTTGAGGCTATGCTGAATCATAGATGACATATGGGGAAAGGAAGGGGGTTTAAAAATAAAGTGATGTTCAAAGCAGAATGGTAAAGAGACAGCTGGAGCAAGGTACCCTAGATTTTATTTTGGGGGTGGGAGGGCAGGGGAGTTGGGATGGTGCCAGGCAGTAGCACTGGTAGCTGGGTGGAGTTTCCACCATTTAATTTTTATGTTTATATTTCTTTCCTGTAACGCCATATCTGTTACTTCTCAGAAGTGTGCAGTATTTTGAGGTTCGCAGGTTCAGAGCACTAAGGACAAACTAGTAGAACATATTTCAGTCTGCCTTCTTCCTCTCTCCCTGGTATAATGCTAAAGATACTACTATTTAATTTCAAATATAATAATTAAAGATTAGTCAGAATAACAATACAAGAAGGAAAATACAATGTGAAAAGAAAGTTAGGAATGAAGCTATGAAATGTAGTAGTTTAACCACAATTAGATTGAATCTGTTGTGAGAGGAACTAAAGCTTCCAAGAATGTTGTTCCAGTTGTTTGCTACAGTACAACAGAGAAAGCGGATTTCTGAAAGTGACTTGCTTGAGAGAGATCTTACAAGCACATAGCTAGAGCTTCCTTTTACAGGGAATAAATAGGGTTCCTAAAAAAAGGAAAAAGTTTTCTGATAGTCCAATAGTTAATATATTAATAACTGAGAACCTTGCTTATGCATTAATTTATCATATGTATGCATACAAAAAGCTACCACTAACAAGCAACTATTGGCTGTATTGTAATTTGGATATGTGAACACAGTTTGCAAGATAAAGACTTGCACAAGTCAAGCTAGGAAAGAGCAGTGCTTTTCTGAAGTTCTGAAAGTTGGACAGTCACACTTTGAAAGTATCCGAGAGTCTGAACATAGGAAAATTGAAAAGATGCTAGCAAAGAGTCATTCCTAACTAAAGCCCACTGCTTTCGGAAAAATTTTGTAGCCATCAAACAAGAAGTGTAATTCCGTGGCTCAAAACAGACCGTACTCTGGCAGTCAAGGAAAAAGGCCATCTTCGAGGTAATTAGTTATACATTTTTTTCTTCTGCAATAAAATACTGCCCTTTCTGTTTATCAGCATACGTGTATAAGCCTGCATAACATAAGTTCTTGTATCCATATATGTATGTTTGCAAAACAAATGCACGGAACCTTATCTCCCCACCCCAGTCAGCTCCATCATGTAGCTATCTCAGTTTACCTGCCTAGAGCACCTAAAATCAATAGTGAACACATGATTAGTATTACAAGAACAAGACTTGTTTTCCACTTCAAGGCTAATAGGTAAGCCCTGTGTTTCAATAAAAGATGCCTGCCTGTCTCTATTGTTTGAGGCAGCCTAAGGAAGCACACTTAGGTGGTGAAGAAGAAAACTGTGATTTGTGACTGGGCAGGAGATGGGAAACACCAGGTCCTCCAGGGTCTAACTATAATCCTATTTTGGTGAGTCTTGGGCTGCCATTGATGCATTATTCATGGACATATGAATGATAAAGTTATTTTAGTTAAGGGACTTTGGATACAAAAGTTATTGTATTTGATATATTTAAAAGTATTATAGATAAAAAATTCTATTTTTCCTCCTAGTTCAAAAATAAGAAATACAGAAATACAAAATGCCAGTGATGTTGCAGCACTAGAGGATTGCACAGATTATTCTCTAGCAAAAACAATAAGCAAAATTGAAGAAGAGCTAGAGAAAAGGGACTTGCCAGATTGTCTGGATGATGACATTCCAAGTGATGGAAATGAAATTGGAGCAGGTAGGTCTCCTCCTATCGAGAAGTAGCTTTTTTTGCTTCCTGTTAGAAATTCTTTATTTGATGCAGGGTGAGGGAGAAAGGGAAGTTCTCCAGAAATGATAGAAGAACTTCTCATCCCTTAAATTATATTATGGGAAGAAAAAAGATTTTAGTTCTTTATGTAATCTAACAGTTTGGTGTCACCAAACAAGAAGCATACAAATAGTTTGATTTTTAATCTCAATTAGTTCTCTGCAAGCCTTCCTTTGATAAGTCTCTCAAAACACATATTTATATACTTCTCATTCCTGAACTAAAAATAAATTGCTTTAGAAAGTACACCACATAAATTCAAGGTAATGCAGTTACTTTTGGTGTCTAGTAATAAGAAGTTCTTGTGTGTCAAGAGCAGATTTGTGAATATTGAGGATTGTGCCTCCAACTTGAATTATAAACTAAACTGAAAAAATACTCTGGACTGACTTGGCTTTTTGAATCCATCATTTAGAACTCGCTGAATGCCTCCCAGATCAGAACTCCCTCTTTAATGTGTTAGGGTACTGCAGAGCAGCTGACTCAGAGACCACTACAGGCTTCACACTGAAGTGGATTTAAAGAGTAAGTCAGTTGTGTTACAGGGAAACTAATTCCCTAGCAGGGAATGATGAGGCTTCCGTGCCTGTATTAGACTCATGCTCACAAACTTCCATAGCATGGTCCTTTCCCTTGCGTTCCACAGGGATCTGCCTGGACTTGGTTTCCTCACCTCTCCTTTACAGTGCAGCTATTCTACTACCTTCCCAGCAACTTGCATGTTATTTTTCTCAAGGTCTATCTTTGTAGGAAATATTTTAACACTACTATAACAAGCAATGGCAAAAGTACATCAAAACATCAAAGTAAATATGAGTCTTCAAAAGTTTATCTAGTACACACAGGAACATATATATGTATATATACACACACATATATATTTGTTTTGTTTTGTTTTGTTTTGTTTTGTTTTGTTTTGTTTTGTTTTGTTTTGTTTTGTTTTGTTTTGTTTTGTTTTGTTTTATGTCTTAAAGATGGCTTTTGTTTTGTTTTGTTTTGTTTTGTTTTGTTTTGTTTTGTTTTGTTTTGTTTTGTTTTGTTTTGTTTTGTTTTGTTTTGTTTTGTTTTGTTTTGTTTTGTTAAAAGATTTACTAGAAAGGGGCCTTACTGAAACAAAGCAGACCAAGTTATAAGGGAAAGTTGTCTGGGGACTAAACCAGAGTAAAACAAGAGACAGGATAGTGTAGAGAAACAAGCATTTCTCACAGTTACTGTCATGCAGAGCAATCTGTTACGAACCTTACACCATTCAATATACAGAAGAATAGTCTGAAAAAAGGGAAGATAGTAACTAAAGGAATCTATAGACAAAACTGATTTTAAGGTAGATAAAAGTGACATTGAAGTTTTAAGCATGCCAACATAGAAAAAGAATCACATAATACTGAATAGGACAATAAAATGGAGAATTATATTCACCTTTAAAAATGCAAAGTAATGCTGATTGGAAAAAAAAACTTATTGAGAGAAATATGAAAGATTCTGTAATGAAAACACTAACGGTAAAGGAAAAACTGTATTTTAGTAGTGCAAAAACGAGCACATGCCTTATTAAATTGGAATTAAAACAAGCTACATGGACTGCTTTATTTCACATAATACATCATTAAATTGGAAAATTCTTTGTCATGGGATGCTGTGGATGCCAAGCAAGAAAGAAAGATTCTGAGTTCCCCCCCAAAAAAAAAAATCTATCCAAAGTTTTGCCTAAGAATGAAAAATTGCCATGCTTTTATCTGGAAAGATAAGTTTTAGTTTGCCTATTTCTGTTTAATAATTGTAAACAATTAGTGTAGTGTATTTTTAAAAATGGGCAGGTAAAAATGAGTTCTTAGTTTGATCCTGCTTGGTAGCATCTCTTCTGCATTACATTATGTTTCAGAGAATACTTAAATTGTGGGTATCAAATGTAACTTTTTATGTTCACAGAAACTCAAATCAGATTTCTTAAAGCAAAGTTACGTGTTATGCAGGAAGAGCTGGATAATGTAGTATGTGAATGCAGGAAAAAGGTAAGAGTTGAGTTTTTTATCAGTAGAAACGGAGTCTATCTACAAATAATCACAATAGTTTTCCCTTGCCTCCAGTTTTCCTAGTAGGATTTTTTGTTGTTGCTTCAACTTCATATATTCAAGAGCTAAGGTTCTCTTTTTTAAAACTTTCTAAGGACTTAGAGTTAGGAGAAATACTTTGTATACAGCTGTGGTCTTTGGACTAAAAGCTTGTCAGATAAAATTTGGGAAGATGAATCAGAGACAGGAAAGAAGGAAAGCTAAGGCAGAGTGATGAGCAAAGACATTCAAGAAACTCAGATACCAGGGATGTCCAGGGCAGAAAAAAAAAATTGGGAAGTGCTGCTCTGCAGTTCAATTTAAGTGACATATTATTGTCCAAATAGAAGCCAGGGATTCTCCATTTTCAATATTACCCTTGTTGTAAGGATTGTTATCTGTATTTGGAGAGATGATAAAGTTAAGGCAGGGTAAAGCAAACTGCTGCCTTACTAACAGCTATGGCCTGCCTTGTCTGGCACTATGTTATAGGTGGTGGTTAAGCATCTGTTGAGCTCTAAAATCTAAAAGGGTTTGGGTCCATCTGCCTGAGGGCCCTTCTCTTTTTCATGCATGTATAATCAAGCAAGGTTTTTGAGCTAACTCCCCCTTTCTCACGAGTGGATTATTCTCAGCTGTGATCTCTTAACTTCAGAATGCTTTTTTTTTCTATTTAGTCTCCAGGCCTAAACCTGATCATGACACTAAGAGTATAATTCTGACAAGGAACATGTTTTCTCTCAAGCTTTTGATTTAAGGTTAAGGAGTATGTTATTTAGCTTTATGTGGATGGATATCTAAAGAAAATCTTTATAAAGAATTGAAGTTTTGTATTTTATATCTCTCCTTGATAATTTATTGTTGCATTTTTATTAAAATGTACAGCTGTCTGTACATTTTGATACTTCAATTTTGCTGTGGTCCAAAGAAAATTGTTACAGTAGATTTCAAATCAAATACCATTTTGTCAGCAGTTGCTGAATTTCATCACGCCGTTTCAAAATACTACAGGGCTCAGGGGCTTTATGAGATGACAGAAGAAATCCCTGTATCCATCCTCTTGCTTCCACAGCACAGACCCTGTAAATGTATCATTTTGGTTACTGTTTTGTGTGTTGCAGAAATAACTGGTGCTCTCAAGGTCACACAAATTTCATATTTGTAGTGCCCTGAAACAGATATTTTGTTTGCTTGTTTCAATTCACAGTACAGTTTTTATAAGGAAGGAATAAATCAGTTGTAAATAAGTAGAAGTTCCTGAGGTACATTCAGTCACCCACTATTTGTGGTAAAGCACGTGTGTCCTAGGGCTTTAGAGGGCAGGAGAGAAAGCCTTGTTCTCATAGAAACTCTATTTTAGCATGTGCTGTGAGGGGGTTAGTATATCTGCAAACTTTCTCACATTAATATTCATTTACAATATTTAAAAGATTATAAAAGAAAAATGCCTTTGGATCATAATGCTTGAAGTGGGATGTAATTGTCAGTAGGTCATGAAGCTAATACAGGATTCACTTGATGTTAAGTGAAACCTCTGTTAGAATATTTGATGTCCCTGGAACATTAGTTTGCTTTTAAGTAGAAACCACATAATCTTCTCAAACATAATGGATTGGTTTAGCAGCAATTATGTTCTCTCTTTTTTTTTTCCCCACCTTTTTTTCCTAGTGTGTCCCTATTTATGTGCTACTGTTATTCGTATTATTCTATAAAATAATGATGGTGAGTATTAGTAAGCTTTGAATTATGGGATATCAGATTTGTTTTACATACTACAAGACAGTCATAGATAAAAGACTGTAGAAAATAATAAGGAAAAATATTTCTCTTTTCTAAAGTACTGCCTTAGCAAACTGTGGCTCTAAGCATTATTTTTTTAAATTATATGGTTTCCTTTCTCAAAGTATTGTGAAATCTGTCGTGAAATATCTTATCACTTTGAAATAATTTAAAAAGTAGTACTGGTTATCATCATACCTCCAACACATACATTGGTGTTACCTTTTATTTAAAAACATTAGCATCACGTTATCCTACTGCTTCCTTGCAATGTTCAAAAAATTTTTTAATTTCACAATTACTGTTCAACAGGAAGATGAAAATGAGAATTTAAAATCTCAGCTTAAAGATACTATGGAAGAGAACGCTAGACTGCAACGAACAATCAGTCTGCAGCAGTCTCAGACTGAGAAGTACAAAGTGGTGTCACAAGAAGCAAACAAAAAAAGTGAAGGATTACAACAAGAGGTCGTAGCACTAGAAAAGGTATGGCACATACTGCTCTCATTTAGCTCAAAAAAGGAATAAAAGCATCAAATCACCTTCTTTACCTGAGATTTACAGATTCGTAGCCAACTATTTTTTCATTAAAATTTCTATCTCTGATAAATTGTATTTTTGAAAGGAAAACTATATTCTGTTAGATGTTTTTTCTCTTCTTTCTATTGTAGATGCTTCTACACTAATATTTTTCTATATTTTAATTACATTCTTCTATAAAAGATCCACAAGAGGCAAAACAACCTATTAAGAAACTGCAATCAAACTGAACAAAGGTGGAATTCTGGAAAATGCAATGGAAATTTCTGTGGTTTTGATGATAATTACTAAAAATTACTTCTATAAATAATACTTCTATTATAACTGTAGGACATGCTGAATGTTGGGGGGGAAAAAAACACACCTGCACTTTTCTGGAGGTGGAAGAAAGATGCCTAATTGTTATTGAAACCAGACTGTTTCAGAACTAGTTGCTGCAATTTGGATGAATCAAAATGAACCTGGCTCTGACTGTGGGTCACATATGCAAAATTGTGTATGTGCCTAGTTACAGCAGATGGCTGAAATACTCATCGTTGTTTGTTTGGAACCTAATCTAGGAGCAGCATGTGTTTCTTCTTTAATTACTCGGAGCTAGAGAGATTGCCTTCAAAATCAAACATGTAATATAAGTGGGTTACTGCATCATTTAAAAATTTGTGGAAAACTGAACACAAGCTGTAGCCTAACAAAGTGTTATTTATACTTCCATTAAATATTGCAATGCAGCAGTACAAACTTTCATCTTAATGGTAAGTAATACTGAAATTTTAAAACGTACTAAGTGCGAGTGGTCTTTTTTTTTGTGGTTACTTTGAACTTTCAGATCACTTAAGTAGGTATCTTAACTGTTGATTCTATCAGGAGAAATACCTGTGTAGTTATTCTACTCTCCAGCTAATAAAAAATAGGGCTAAGAGACCTTACAAGGTCACTTAGTCCTTTGTCTCCAACCAAAACAGGATAGATTGTGCCTGAACCACCTTGGACATAGGTTTGTTCAACCTGTTGTTAGAACGTTCAGTGGTAGCAGTCGCTGTGGCTTCCTCAGCCAGACTGCGCTGCTGCTCGTGCACGGCAGATCACCTCTCCGGTGTTTAGGAGATATCCCTTCTTTCAAATGCGCTTTTGCCATATAGATTTCTCAATTAGGCATTTACTTAAGGCACAGTATAAACACATTAAAAAACATCTTTATAAAATAAGTGATGTGGAAGTTTATATTAACGACCACAAGTGCTCAGGTGGAACTGAGAAAAGTGCAACAATTGCTCAGAAACAAAATAGGCTGCTGGTAAAAGCTTAAAAGCCTCCTCTCTGCCCTATTTTTGTTAAATGAACCTGTCTTTTTGAACCTACAGTTAAAAGAAAGAAGTCTACAGCTTTTCCATAAAGTTGTCAAGATGTGCTTTTTCTTCCAAAATTGTTTCTCTTATTTCTTCTACTTTGTCTTTGTTTCTCTGTATTCCCTGATCTCTAATCTCATTACTCTGTTCCTCAACTTGGCCTCTTTCTCATTTTCCTGCTTGCAGCTCTGTGAACTACTCGGAGATAAGAGGGAACTGCTTTCACTGTTGCTGTAAACACTTGAGTTACTGTCTCCTAGATGAAGTAGTTATCGCCCTCAGCCACCTTCAGCTAGACTTAACTTTTATAATGCTGAATGGTGATTTGTGGTACTATCTAGGAATAAGAGTTAAAAGAATCAGGGGGGAAAAGCAGCTGGGGATACTATTCTCTGTTTCAAAATTTGTCACAAGATTGGGTGTATGTTTCTTCTGACAGAGCACAGAAGGTTTTCCTGTTAGTCCTCTGGTCTTTCTTACATGAGCGGCTCCACAATATTTGAAGAGACTATTAAAAATTTAAAAAGACACATTGTCAAGATTTTCTGGAAAGAAAAAGAAAGAGGGAGATGTCGTAACAGTGGAATTATGGGCCTAGAGACTAATTCTGTCCACAGGCAAAAAAGTCTACAGCAGGATTTCAAGAATGAGCCTTGATGTAAATGTATTGCTTATATGGGATCCATTAAGTATCATTATTCATAATGTCTGTTTTTGTCTTTGACTTCTTGCATAGGAATTAGAGAAGCTAAAGCGTGCACAAAAGCAGGCCTCAACCAGTCAGAGTGCCACAGAAGTTCGCTTAAATAGGGCTGTGGAAGAAGTAGAGAGGTATAAAGCAGAGCTGAATAAACTGAAGCAAAGTCACAAGGTACAGTGGCTTAGAAAAACAAATTTAAACTTGTAATCATTCAAAAATGCTAGAATAAGGCAGAAAACGTGAACAACTTTACAGGTTTTGTATCTCTCACAGACAATTCCCAAGTTGACTTGTAATTGGTCACCAAACAGCTTGATTCAATATGCCCCCTGTTACCATTAGAACCTATGCTGGAGGTTAAAAAAAACCAAAGTGATAGTCTATCTGTATTTTTCCTTTTTGTTTGAAAATTAGATGTGTTTAGAACCAGGGAGCAGTACATATACATCCCTCATACATACACTGGCAAACAACAATATGAATGCTTCTTGTGTTTCCCCTGGAGTGCCAGTAAGTCTAGCTATCTGAGTTTTGCTTTTCTTCTTCTAGGCTTTGGCGAGGGAATATTTTGGCGCATTCTGTTTCTTTTCTGGAATGTCCTGTGTGGCTACTGTTAGTCATTTTGTTATGGTATTCCAAGTTTAATTGCTTAAAACACCACTTCCAGGAATAACAAGTTTCTTCTTTTTCCTCTGTGGTAGGATGCAGCTAACCAAGAACTCAAAACAATTGAAGAATTAAAAACAGAAAACAAGAAACTGCAGAAGCAAAAAGGAGAGCTAATGACAGGTTTTAAGAAGCAGTTGAAGTTGATAGATGTTTTAAAGAGACAAAAGGTAAGAGCACAAATACTGTTTTACTTCACTAGGCAACTTTAAGTGTGTCAGATGTCAAGTAACACGCTGTGTAACTAGAGCCCCGAGACCAAGAGCAGCAGCCTCGGTTTTGTTAGCTTGTGTTGCCAGAATTGTCCTCCATAGCGAAGGCTGGACATTCTTGAGTTGAGCCTGGAACTGATGATGTACCAGTTTGGGATTACATGTGCACCGTTCACCCATTCGAAGAGAATTTTCATTCCCCTCTTTCAGGATGCCCACTCTGCTGCAGCAGTTCCTGCCGTTTGCTGTTTATAAAAAATGGCTGCAGAGACTTCTGGGCTACCACCAGTCTAAGGAGGAAAAGAAAAAAAAAAAAAGACTGCACTTCTGAGTCTGCTCTGTGTTATGTGATTGAATCACAAACTTCGCTATCTCAGACAGTAAATCGCCTATAACAGTTTGTGCCTCCCAGATTAGTGTCTGCAGGCCTGTATTATTTATTAGTCCCAGTGCTGCATAGTGACTGTCCTGGCTGGAGCTTGTAGCGAGGATTTGCAGCTCCGCTCTCGAGCGGGGCTTTGGCTGCACCCTGGGCTCTGCAGAGAGACCTGGGGCCTTCAGAGCGTGGTCCTTTCATATTTCCTGTTGTATTCACGGTGAGACATTCCAGTTTGAGAATGAAAAAGATGCAGTAGTCACTCATATCTACCCTGTCCACAACCCGGCTTGTCATTCTGGGGTCCGTTAACTCGCTGAAAGGGAGCCAAGGGATCATAGTTCTGTAACACTGAGTCTGAAGCGTAACCTCAGGGAACATCACAAAACTTGACTAAATACATTTAACAAAGAAACACTGCACCAGAACCGAAGTGTACCCTCAGGGAACACTGCAGGGAACACAAAGAAACACTGCACCAGAACCGAAGATAGATACAGTTGAGAAAATTATTTATTCTTTGTTATTAAAAACATTACTTGCAGAAAACCGTTGCTGTTAATTTTCATTCTTGTAAACAGGTTGTGGTTGGAAGAAACTGAGGGCAAATGGTGATGGCTTGGGCTTTTGTAACTTCTGGTAGGAAAAGGGGAGGGCAGGCAAAGCTCACATTTCACCAAAATACATAATCAGCTGAAGAGCTTCGCTTCTGTTTAGGCAAGGACTTTTACCGAATCCATCAGAAAATACTTAGTTTGGGCCCTTTGTGTGATACTGAGTGCTAGATTCAGAGCTGTGCAGTAAGTAGAGATAGACTGAAGAGCAGGACAAGCTACCACAGGAGGAATGATAGAGGCAGGATCTCAAAATGGTGTTCAAGTGCCCTAGTAGGATGCCTTGCAGCTGGCAGTTGCTGGTGTTCAAATTGGTCTCTCTCAGCCCATTCTCTGCTTGCCTTGAAAGTGAGAATTTCATAGAAAATACTAGTTTTAAGAGAACATTGGGGGAAGTCACTGTGAGTTTGACAGAGCTGGAGGGTATTGTATTACATCTGGGAGTTGGATCCTCTTTTTTTGTTAAAACAGATCACTGTACGACAGCTGACAGATTGTTTTATACCCCAGCTAGTTCCTGTGCTTCAAAACATTAAAAAAATCATATTCTAAATAAAATTACTTAGATTGGACATTTTCTTTGCCCCTTTAAATGAGCACAGGTAAAAGTTTATGTCTCATTCTTGGTGTGAGGACAGGGCTGAGTAGAACAGGTGGGACCTTTGCTCCCCTCACTGGGAGTGGAGGGAGCTTTCTGGCTGCTGCTGCTTCTTGAGGGGTAGTTTCTTTTGCTGGGGCCATTTAATGCTCTTTGTTTTGTGCTGCTTATGTTCATTTATAACTGCAGGACATTTCTTTTGCTAAGTACGTGTATGAGAAGCAGAAGCTAAGTAGGAATCTTAGTGACATTTGCTTTGTAGGAGCTCTAAAGTTGAGAGGAATATTGATCAGCTTGAAAGTGCACAAATTTTCTTAAGGTGATACAAGGAATGTCACATTCTTCAGTGATTTCCAGGCCCTGTCGAAAGTGTCGTATCTGTAAGATAATGCAAGAAACTAAGGAAAAGTTACAGTTCATGGTTTCTTAGAGTGGAAGTTATGATATTTAGTACAAAACATGTGTTTCCCCTTCCTCTCCACCTTCCTTTTTTTCTTTTTTTCTAGCTTACCTTAATGCTACAAAATAGGATTGTTGCAGGAAACTATGAATAGCCGTGACAGCTTGGAACAGCCGACTGCCCATCAATACCCAAATATGAAAAAGCAGAATGACAGAGCACATCCAGTATTTTATTCCAGCTACATAGGAGTTTATACTAGTCATTCATGCTGCTTTATTCTCTGCTTCTAGCTAATTTAATTTCTTTTCCTTTCTTTAAGATGCATATTGAAGCCGCTAAGATGCTTTCCTTTACGGAAGAGGAATTCATGAAAGCGCTGGACTGGGGAAATTCTTGATTCAATGAAAAAGCAGCTTCTGCTTGAAACACAAGCCCAACAGCATCTTATTTTGGCACTGTAGACAAGTACCCATTGCTCATTACAGCTATATGTTTCCATTATATTCATAGTGTTCAATTTGCTTACGTTGAAATTGTTTATTTTGTAAAAAAAAATATCAAAAAAAAGTAGATAAATGGTTTGCAACATCCCATGAAATCTAAGTCTCTTTGGCACTGGTGCCAAATTTGTTCAGTCCATACTGAGCAGACAAGCACAAAACATGCAAGGAATATTCCACCGAGTAACCGGTTACCAGCTCGTTCTGTCTCAGCATTTAAAAATTGCCTCAGATAAGGTGGTATTTGGGCTAAAGGGAAGACTGTCTCATTTCAAAAAACTTCTCATGCAGCAGGAAGAAAGAAATCTATGATCCATTTGAGAAGACAATGTCACATCCTTCTAAAAACACAAGTTTTTAAGGTATCGGGTATTGTCTGTTCTCTGCAACATATTGCCCTGCACCAACTAACCAGGTTCTCTGCCTAGTGTAAGCCTCAACATCTGTTTAATAGAAATGGTGATAGCTTTAGCAGTCACACCTTATACCCTGCCTGGCAAAAATAAATCTTTCCCCTGCCATCACATATTACCTAGGGATGGAGTCTAGAGTAACAGCTCTATTTTCCACAGGTGCCTCCTTAAAGACATTATAATGGTGTCATCATAATCAAGAACTAGATAAAAGTGTAGGTAAGCAGAACATATTGTGGGTACATTAATTAAAAAAAAAAAAGCTGTAAAAGTCTGTGCTGGAATGCATGAATCTCTCGTAATTTTGCAGCTATTTCAGTGGCTTCTTCCCTTGGAGTAATTTATAAGGAACAAGACACCTAAGGTTTATCACTAAAAGGCAGGAATTCAACAGGAAGACAATGATTCTGACCTCAGAAAGCAACTGTTCACACTTAAACCCTGCTAGAAACTAAGGACATGACTAGCAGTGACACAATCAACTCAGACCTGCCATTCAAGATGAGAAATCTACATTTTAGTACATTAGTATTTTAATAGTTTAATGCTGAATCTTCAAATCAAAAATAAAAATAGTATTTTAAGATAATCACAAAGTCCATACTGACATATACGTCTGAATTTATACTAGCTTAGGTTTCTGTAAAGTTGCTGGAGAAAACAGTTTTTAACAGTGTTGTGGTACTGACCTCATGGTTTTAGGTAAAGTAATAGAGCAATCCATAAACAAATAGTTTATTGATGAGGGGAAAAAGCACAATATGCACTGAAATAGAACTAGCTGCTCTTCAGTTTAGAACTCTGGTCTTAAAATGGAGACCCTTTTTATAACATTAAGGAAGAACTAACTCTCAACAGCGAACAGACATTTTCCTTAGCAACCGGATGACATCTAGTGGTGGAGCAGAGGATGAGATGGGGAAACGTCAGTGCTCTGCTGGAGACGTGTTGCCACTTCTCTTCTGATAGGCCAGCCTAAATTCCTCCCCAAGCATGTTAACGTCGTCTTCATCTTTGAGTATTCCCTGCAATAGGGTAAACACACACATGGGAAGATTAAGCAAAATACAGAGATTATTACTGGATCTTTGAAGTTTGCTATGAAAGTGAATGAAGTAGTTTGTATCCATGGTACTTCATGTTGCTTTTAAAAACAAACTCCATGACTACCCAAGTGTCAAGACAAATTGACAGCCCTGAAAACCTTCATCAAAGACTCAGCTGCCATCCACACGCCTAAAGCTCTGGATGTGCAAAGGACAACAGGGACACTCTTGAGCTCGTCCCACGTGAGCCACCGGTGCTGAAATGCAGCCCTGACAGTGCCCCATACACCAAGAGTCCTTTCTGTTCTCTGCTTCCCAAATCAAAAGAACAAAAGTGAGCACAGGAAGGCAGGCACAGCAAGGACATCTGCTGATTCCTATTGCAACTTTAAACTATCCAAGGGAAAAGTGATCTGCAAAACAAACGTTTAAGGTAATATAATTCACTTACTCTAGGAAGATAACCTAGTAACTTAGATGCATGCTCTTTCAGGAGTTTCTGTCTCTCTTCTTCAACAATTAAACGAATGTTTTCTTGTCTTCTCTCTTCTAACTGCCTTTCTTCAAATTCACGTTCCTGCAATGAACAAGTTTTCAGTACTGTTCAATTTCTGTTCTGTTCCACCACTATCTACAGTAGTGTGAGCAGAAATATTTGTCAGTGGAGTAAGTTTCCTCTCCTGGTCTGCAGTGTCTACAAGTAATTAACTCTCAGTCATAGCAGATTCATTTAAAAAAGATAAAAAACTGCACGTCAAAAACAAGCACTGTTTAAACAAGCTACGTTTAGTAACTAGAAAAAAAGTCTCAAACAAGAGAAAAGACTCTGAAAAGCAAAACATCAAGCCTGCCTAATCACATAAATGTTTAATCTTATATTAGAACCTGTTTTAAAGGATCAGCAAGTGGAGATCTGATTCTAAGTCGGTTGTTTCTACCCTAATATTCTAACCCAGGAGAAGGAAAAACAGGCATGTATTCTCATGATGATGACTAGAAACTGCAGTTCACATTACATGTATCATTTATGCCCCAAAAAACAAAGCCACCAATTGCAAAATAGAATGTCATGACTATCTCTACATATAAGCATTTTGTTTCTCAGATGCTAATCCAAGAGATTTAATTTAGCAACTGAAATCAAGGCTGGGTTTTCCCCCTTCTCACATATTATTAGGGCTGCCTCATCAGTGACCGAGCTGTGTAACAGCTGTGGTGCTGCTCGTGCACCTCTTTGGGAGATGTTTGCAGAGCAGATCATGTATACAGGGATGTACAGGGGCTACTGACTCTTGAGCAGAGCAAGGGTAGCTCTAAAAAGGCTTTTTTGTTGTCAGTAAAGCAAACCAAAGCCTTGCCCCCTGCTCTGCACGTTCTCTGCAGTTCTCCCCTCACCCTTCCCTAATGAACAATCCCTTTGTAATAAAGAGTTCCTTGGCATAGGAAAAGTATTCTTGTATTGGAGCAGCACAGCTCAGACACGAGGCAACAGTGAGAAGTAACTTCTCTTACCTTGTCTGCCAGAAATTGTTTGTGGCGGTCTTCAATAAGTTTTTCCACAGCCCTTCTGTGTTCAAGCTGTTTCATTCTTCGTTTCTGAGCGTTCATCTGTTCGATACGATCGTCCTCTGCAAATTTGGCCAACATCTCTTGTCTGAAGGCTTCTTCCTCTTCTTGCATAGCTTGTTGCACTATCTTCTTTAAAGCCAATTGCTCTTCATATGTTTGCCTTAAGTCTATACGTTGCCTTATTCTCTTTTCAATTTCTTCCTACAAAGGAAAATATTTTTTCCTGAAGTTTTTCCATAAAGAGCATTTTATTGACTATCAGTCTATCTGAATGTTGTGGCATAAATTTACTGTAGTCATTATCTTCTAGCATAATGAAGTGCAGACACTCCACATGTGACAGTGAAGTCTGAATTATTAACCACTTTGGTCAAATGACAAGTCTCTCAAGACTGTCAAAATTAAGTCCAGAACAAAAGGAGAAATACTATTTTTATGACTATGAAGTGAAACGAGACAGTCCTCTCTAAAAATACCAATGTTAATGTCCTTGCATCTGTGTAACATTTTCTTTGTCACTCTCATGGCAAGATAAGTGGAGGGCAGCATGCGGAACAACACCACCGGACAATTGATTAACCTATTTAGGTTAAACCTGAACTTCAAAATTATAAGCATTCGCCTTGGTGAGGTGAATAAATTAATAAATGGGAGCACAGGGGGCCCTTTCACCTTCACATCTTTTCCTGATTGAAATAAAACCATAAATACATGTTAGGGACTGAAGAGGAAACTCATCAAAGGAGGGAATTCTCCCTTCCAAACAAGGTTAGTTTGAAAACTGCTTCTCTCACTAAGAAAGTTTAAGAAATAAAGGTTGTGGGAAACCTCCTTTTACCAGGACAGGAAGTGGAAACAACTGAAATTAAGTTAGGTTAAAGCATCTAAAACTTTTATCAGCATTTGGCTTTTTGCTTTGAGACACCTTACAGACTGCAGAGGGATCTAAATCCCCCAAAACCATCCCAAAGCCAAGAAAGCAAAATCTGAAATGTAAAAATGACACTTAGACATGGGCAACCTACCAGCATTACTAAAGGAAAGGTTTTGGAAAGGGTCATTACTGGCCTCTCGAAGGGCAAGATGTAGATGGAAATGCATCAGAGAGCCATAATTATAAATTAGGAATTTTACTGTGTAAACACTAGTGTATATTTTTCCCATCTAGACCAGCTTCATTGACCTGCATGTTCTGCAGGAATTATTGCAAGGTTGCAAGATTTGTCTTTCCAATTCAAGTTTTACTTTAACAGTTGATACACAAGTACACGAAATATGCACTTTACATAGAAAAATTCTGGTTTCTAACAAATTGTCTTTACTTTTGAAATAGCCATAGACACATCCGACAGGAAAAGTCCAGGAATAATGAAGTAACCCTGTCTCCTTTCTCCTTTGTTACCTACGTACCACTCCAGCTCCCTGGCAGCACTTACCATCTCCTTCTTCCTGTCCATCTCGGCTTGTTCCTCCTCATGCAGCTCTTGTCGTACTTGTTCCAGTTCTTCACGTTTCTGCTGTTCCCTTTTCAGGCTCTGGGCAATCTATGACAAGAAGGAGAAAGGATTTCTTTATGAAATATAGGAATATTCAATATTTGTTGCATAAATGTCAACTTTCAATACCATGCTTTGAAGTCTTTGTTTTTTCTCCTCACTTTCCCGAACTTTAGCCATTCGATCTTCTTCTCGTTGCCGCTGCATGTTGGCAAACTCCACGATTTTCCTATTTTCTTCTTCCATCTCTTCCCGTTTCCTCCTTCTCCAGAGAGCTTGTTCTTTTTTAAATTCTTCAATATATGCCTGTGTTGCTCTCATTTTTTCTAGCTTAAGCTGCTTTTCCCTATATAAGCGCAGGAAAAAAGGAGAGAAACGTTTAAACAGTTACTTAACACGTTAAAAAAGGCCACGTGGTCATCGCTGACAGCATATCCAGAGCGTAAGATTCAAATGCCCCTTTTCCCCTTAGGTGGACTAATTAATGTACTGCTCCTAAAAGAAACATTCAACACGTTCAACCCTTGACTCAGGGAGACAGACTCCATTCACTGGCAGCCACTATCACTGTGTTTCATACATGCTCCATCAAAACAGGAAGGGGAGGAGGAAGGAAGGTAAGCGGCTTAAAAAAGACTTTTGTTTTAATTGACAGCTGTGTGTAATTTAGAACACTTTTAACTTCTTCCCCCCCCCCTTTCTTTTTTTAATTCACACTCAATTCTCCATCCCTACCCACGCAGATCTCCTTTCCTACCCATGTCCAAACATAAGCTTAAAAGTCAAGATAACAAGGAGGCAGGAATATAAGGCCAGATGGAAACAAGACGCAGTAGTTGCCAGCAGCACAGCTCTGAAGAGGGCACTGCTTGAGGCTACATCACAGACTGAGGGAAAACGAACACAAGATAGTCTGGAACGGCAGGAATACTCTCGCTCTAAATGGCAAAATTCACGTGGCTAAGAAACTTTCCTGAAAGAAAATGATGTGTTAAAATGGGCCTTTTTCTATAAAATAAATTTACTTTTTTAAAATAGAAGTTTTTGTTTTAAATTAATAAAAATCCGAAGTAACTAACATTTGGTCTTCCTCATAGATCTTCCTTACTATTTCATCAATCATGAGTTTCTCTTTTAGAAACTCTTCATAAGCATCCTGCTTCTTCCTCTCTTGCTCCTCGAGCTGTTTCTCCAGTTCTTGCTGATACATCCTCTTCTCTTTGTTTCGCCTCAGCTCTGCAGAACTTTCTTCTTTTGTCACCCTGTCATACTCTTCCCTCATTTTTTGGGCTATTTCAGCCTCACGTTTCTTAAAAAAGGAAAAAAAAAATTACTCTGACTCATGTAACTTGTAATGAAAAACGACAGTATAGGAAAGGAGTTACACAGCACTGCAAACAGCCCAAATGTTTTCTACCCTAAATCATCTGTAATTATAACGCCTCAGTAGACTGCTCTGTAAATAAATATCTTCAAGGAAGCCCTGGATACATAAAAGAACTCAAACTAACAGCACCTAAAGGACACTACCCATTGTGCTGCTGCGAGAGGGAGTGCACCCATCTTGAAACCGGCTCACAGCAGCGCCGTGTCCGATACGTGGTTTAACTGTGTGCTCCACCTGCAGCGCTTTCTTTCCGAGCTGCGTACAAAACAGCAGTTTAATCAGAACCTGCTTCCCCGTCATCAGCATGTTATTCCACAAACAAAAGCTCCGAATTCTTTTCTGGAGTTACTCAGACAAATATTCAGTGCAGGACAGCACTTCCAACAACCTGCTGTGGAGGCACCGATCCTCCGCGAGGCACCGGCTGCGCAAGGGCAGCCGCCCGGCGCCCCGCACCTCCCCTCTGAGCAGCAAGTCCCCGCGTGCAGCTGCTCTCCCTGCACCAGGAAAAGGAGCGTTTTTCTCAAGGCAGCTAATCAGCCCTTAGTAATAACAAGAGATTTGTAAAAAATGTTGAATTTTAGTTTAGAATATTGGATTAGAATGTTAAATTAGTTTAAATAAAAAAGGCCCTCGGCTGCAAAGGAGAATTCCTCAGCATAATCCATACAAACAGTTCCAGCACTCTAGAGGTTGCTGAGAACAAAATGGGAATGAAGCCAATTACCATTTTCTCATATTCGATAGCTTCTTTTTCAGCAATCTGTGCAGCTCTTTCTTTATTCATATAGGCAGATTTTAGCCTTTTTTCTAACTCTCGAAGTTCAAGACTGGAAAAAAGCAGAAACAATCATTGTATCCTATTGAAATAGGATAAGATGGAGGCAGGTACCTGCAAAAAAAGAGCAGATCCATCCCTGAAAGCCTATTGAGAAATCAAATCTCCGTACAGGTGAGTTAATGTGCTGAGGTTGATAAACAAGAACAAAAAAGAAGGCAACGGCCACTGAACAACTCAAAACTGAACTAGAAATTTTAACTGATTTGAAGTAATATTACAGCAAGAATTATATGTATGTGCAAAGCACAAATGTGTTCCACACTTCACAACTGCAGCTTGTTTCTATGGAATCCATAACAAGGGGTTAGCAATGGCAGTATCAACAGCTTACTAGGAATTCAAGTTGGGTGCTGTGCAAATAAATGGAGATACACGGGATCAGGAAATACAAATGGATGGCAGGCGACTGAATAGTTATAAAGAGTTATAAAGAGTTTTACACAAGCAGGCGGTTACGTGGGAATTAAGCAGCTGCGCTTCTGAGGCCATACCTGTTCTCTCTCACTTGCTGCCTCATCTTCTCGTCCTTCTGCTTCTCGCGGTTCAGGCGCGCCAGCTCCGCCGCCAGCC